GAGAGCAGAGTGCGCGTTGGGGGAGGTGGAGGTGCCTCCGTGTCACTGGCTGGCCACAGGTGGGATCCTGGTCACTCATGGATGCATTGTATGTGGACTGCACAGTATTGGAAACGTGTGAGAGTTTTCTTAAAAGCAGGACTTCTGGCTTTTTTACTTGTGTACTTTTTACTCTCACTATTTGGCTAGACTCTACTTTGCCAGGGCAACCGTGGGCTAGCGTGCTAGCAGCCCCCTTGGGTGCGCAGGCTCGAGGTGCTGCACTCCTTATCATACTTCTGCATCCAGGGGTGGAGTTCCCTGCTTGTAGGAGCTGCCACATCTTCCAGTTTTTTCGAGACACACTGGGCATCCAGACTGTTATGTGAAACCTCATGCTGGCCTTATAGAACATGCCTAGGGGTTGCATGTGGCCCGCGATCCACCAGTTTGAGACCTGCCTTAGAGCTCTTCTAGGACCTATAAGTCTCCTGCCTCGTTGGGAAGGGAGATGCCGGCTGCCCTGACCTTGGACTTCTTGCCACCAGCCTTCACATTCTTCGATCCCAATGACCCCGCGTGCCAGGAGATCCTGTTTGACCCCCAGACCACCATCCCGGAGCTGTTCGCCATCGTGCGCCAGTGGGTGCCCCAAGTCCAGCACAAGATAGACGTCATTGGCAATGAGGTAGGAAAACTGGGGAAGCCAGGGAGGCAGGGGATGCGAACCCCCCACATTTAGATAACTTTCCCCGGGCCTCTGGGATGTCCAGATTCTGCGTCGGGGCTGCCACGTGAACGATCGGGATGGACTGACCGACATGACACTGCTCCACTATGCGTGCAAGGCCGGAGCCCACGGAGTCGGTGAGCCACGAGACCCAAAACCTGGGCCCCCAGACCCGGCACCCTCAGGCCCTAACAGCCCCATCAGGGGCTTGGAGCGGAAGATTCCCACGGGCAGAAGCCCCGGGCTTCCCTGTGCTCCGGGTGCACGCCCTGGGGAGGGTGTTCGAGCTGACCGGTGGCTATGACGCAGGCGATCCCGCGGCGGCCGTGCGCCTCTCGCAGCAGCTGCTGGCGTTGGGCGCGGACGTGACCCTGCGCAGCCGCTGGACCAACATGAACGCGCTTCACTATGCGGCCTATTTCGACGTCCCTGAACCTCGTGGCGGGTGCTGCTTGAAGGGGGGGCCGCCCCCGGGGTGAGGAGGGGGAAGCCCCGGGGTTTGGAAGGGGGGCAGGGCCCAGCTGAAGAAGGAAACCCGAAGCGGGAGGAAGGCGACTGGGGTTGGGGTAGCGAGGTCCTGGCTGAGGGAGAGGCGGATGTGGAGCACCGAGTGCGGGACACAGGTCGGCTGGGAGGGGCGAGGACCAGGATCCAATAAGGTACGGGAGGTGGAGCTCAGCGGTCCCCAATCCCAGGGAAAGGCAGAACCTGGGTGGGAGAGGCCTGGTCTCTGCGCGGGGGCGGGTGGAGAGACACCTGGAGGTGGATAGAGCGCCAGAGCCCCACTCTCACCTGGAAACCTGCTCTCTATCCGCGTCTCAGTGGTGAACTCCACGTGCAGTGACTTCAACCACGGCTCAGCCCTGCACATCGCTGCCTCCAACCTGTGCCTGGGCGCCGCCAAATGTCTGCTGGAGCACGGTGCCAACCCGGCACTGAGGGTACCGCCACCCTGGCCTAACCCTGGGACCTCCTGCTCTTCCCTGGCCCCCACAGCCCACCCCCCCACCTCCCCTGCAGTGTTCCTTGTCGGGTGAAGGCTATTAGAAGCCCTGGTTTACAAGGGGAAAACTGAGGCAGACAGATTAGATTTGTCCGCAGTCACCCAGCGAGGATTACCTTTTCTTACCACCCTGCCCGACCCCAGGCAGGTGTAGACAGGATCTGAAGCCCGCCGCAAAAGCTGCATTCGGCCCTCTGCGGATCAGTGGGTTGGGGCCCCTATAAGCCTTCAGTATGATCTTTGGCTTCTTGACTCTTCTGTCAGCAGATCCCCTCCCAACAGCAAGGACTCTGCATGGATATCTCGGCAGGGGGCCATGGCCTAGGTTTCTGGGATCCTGCCTCTTCTCTTCCCCACTGGCCTATCCCCAGTGTCCATCCCCCACCCCACCCTATGGCTGCATTACAGGCTGGGGCCTGACCCCTCCCCCCCATCAAGGGCATGTCCCCTAGCACTGGCATGTGGTCCTCATTCCCTATTGGCTACACCAGCATCCTACCTTCAATTACCTGTCACACATCCCCAGTCCAGGGTCTCAGGGGTGGACTTCCCCGGGCAAGGTCCCAGGGTGTGACATGCCCCCCTCTTCCCATTGTCCCCCAGAATCGAAAAGGACAGGTGCCAGCAGAAGTGGTCCCAGATCCTATGGACATGTCCCTGGACAAGGCAGAGGCAGCGCTGGTGGCCAAGGAGCTTCGGACACTGCTGGAGGAGGCTGTGCCGCTGTCCTGCGCCCTCCCCAAGGTCACACTACCCAACTACGACAACGTTCCCGGCAATCTCATGCTGAGCGCACTGGGCCTGCGCCTGGGAGACCGCGTGCTGCTGGACGGCCAGAAGGTCAGTGTCTGGGGTGGGGGTGGGGGGTGAGACCCAGCCCCCTCGTCCCTCAGAGGTGAGCCCTTGGGTTGGTCTGCCCCGTCCCCACCACTCACCAGTACTTTACTTCACCTGACGATTGTCCCGTGCACGCCTTTGTGCCTCGCCCCGTGCTCCGCTCTTGGTCAGTCCTAGGGCATGGGGAGGGGGTTTCTAGCACCTGACAGGGACAGCCCTGAGCAGTCGTGGCTGTGATTGGGAAGCCGGGCAGAGGGGTCAGAGCAGCTCTGTGCACCTGTGGCTCCCCCAGGGTCTCGTGGTTCCCAGTCAGGCTCCACCTCCACTCTCAGAGTGGTCGGGACGTTGGCCAGGAAAGTGCAGGCCAGCGTGACGGGGGTGTGATGGAGGTGTGACAGGGGTGTGAGGGGGGATGCACCCGACCTGGACGAGGAGTGAACCAGGAAAAGGCAAGGAGAGCAGGCGTATCGCGGGCAGAGGGTCTTTACCCACCCAAGCTCTCGGACTCGCCTTCACTTTTTAGTTCTAATTCCCTGGATCACAGCAGGCCTGCAGGCCCCTGGACAGACCGGGATTTTGTCTCTCACGCAGCAGGACACCGCAGAAGCCACATTTTGTTTCCTGATCAGGGGTTCGGCGTGGGTCAGCCCCTCCTCCAGAAAGCTGTCTGTGTGTGATCTAACCAGATCCACGGGGGATTTCTGAAAGGGTGGACTGACTCTCCCCAGTTTACCCCCCAGAAGCTGCAGGAGGCTCCGAAGTCTGAGGACATGCACAGCTGTCATGCCCTCAGGCAGATCTTGGCGCTGCCACCTGCCCGCTGTGGGGCTGATGCCCGTGATCTCACCTCTGGACATCTCGGGGCGGGGGTGGGGGTGGGGGTGAGGCCCTTAACCCAGAGCCTGTGGCATGCTCTGGGCTCTTTGTGCGCGAAGCACTGTTCTGGACCCCGTGCAGCTATTAGCCCATTTTATAGACCAGGAATCGAGGTGTGGCAAGGTGAAGGGCTCACGGCAGCCAAGCCACTTGGTATGTACTAAAAGCTTCTCTGCGGGGCAGCCATCCCATGAGGCGAGTTGTTATCCTCTTTCCCGGATAAAACCGAGGCCCAGGAAGTCCCCTGACCAAAGCTACAGCACAGTGGTAGCCAGCGTTTGCTGATCCCTGCCCGGTAGACTTTCTTGTGACGGCGGTGAGGTTGTGTCCAGCAACCTAGCCACAAGCCACTTGTGGCTACTGAGCACAGGAAGTTTGGCTACTGTGGTTGAAGGGAAGCGTTTTTAAATTTAGCTTAAATGTAAACTGAGGCATGTGCCAAGTGGCTCGTTACTAGGCAGGGTGGCTCTGTTACAACCCTGTGAGGCGGGAATAATTTCTGTTCCCATTTCACAGGTAAGGAAACTGAGGCCCAGAGCCTCGTCATATTCATGGAACCAGTAGACTGTGATGTCTGAGCTGGGGTCGGAGCCCAGGACTCCCTCATCTGCCCCACCATGCTGCCTGCATGCCAGGATCTACCATGACCTCCAAAGACCCCTTCCCAAGCCGTAGCCTCCTTTGTCTCCCCAGACGGGCACGCTGCGGTTCTGCGGGACCACCGAGTTCGCCAGCGGCCAGTGGGTGGGCGTGGAGCTGGACGAACCCGAGGGCAAGAATGACGGCAGTGTTGGGGGCGTCCGGTACTTCATCTGCCCTCCCAAGCAGGGTCAGTCCCACCCGGGGTCCAAGAGGGGCGGGGAGGGTGTGGTGGGGGAGGTCTGCCCAGTAGCTCGGATGCTGCTGTCTGGGAATGGGGCCTGTGGGTTGAAGACAGGGCCATGGGCAGAGGCTGGGCAACTTCAAGCCCAGGCTCTGTGTCCCCCAGGCCTCTTTGCCTCCGTGTCCAAGATCTCCAAAGCAGTGGATGCACCCCCTTCATCTGTCACCTCCACACCCCGGACGCCCCGGATGGACTTCTCTCGTGTCACTGGCAAAGGCCGAAGGGAGCACAAAGGTTGGAGGGGAGACTGTGGGGCGGGAGGGCTGGTCCTGGGGGTGCGCTGTGCACAGCTCAGCTTCTGCGACTGGTCCTGGGGTGCGCTGTGCACAGCTCAGCTTCTGCGACTGGTCCTGGGGGCGCGCTGTGCACAGCTCAGCTTCTGCGACTGGTCCTGGGGTGCGCTGTGCACAGCTGAGGCCTGGACTCCAGTGTGAGAGGACGAGTTCTGAGTTCCTGGCTGCGGGGACTCTGCATTGGCTCTGCTCGGTTCTTGGAAGGACCTGTGGGTTCCCTGCCTCACTTGCCCTGCGGTTTCCTCCAGCTTTAGGGAAGAATCTGTGGCGTTCCTGGCTTTTCTTTATTTTTTAAGATTTAAATGTTTGAAAGGTGGAATGACAGAGAAAGAGAGAGAGAGAGAGAGAGAGAGAGAGAGGGAGAGAGGTATGGGGTGGGTGGGGGAAGACCTTCCATTCACTGGTTCACTGCAATAGCCAGGGCTGGGCCAGCCTGAAGCCAGGACTAGGAACTCCAGTTTCCCATGTGGGTGGCAGGGACTCAAGTACTTGAACATCGTCTGCTTGCTCCCAGGTACATTAGCAGGAAGCTGAACCAGAAGCAGGGGTAGACGATGGTCCAGGCACTCTGCTATAGGGTGGGGGTATCCCAAGCAGTGGCTTAACCCACTGTGCCACAACACTCCTAACATATTCATGTATATGAAAGGCAGTGTGACCTAGGGGAAGGGGAGACAGAGAGAGACTGGAGGTCCTGGCTTTTGTGACTTGATTTACTCTCAGACTCAACTCCCAGCCTCCTTTTTTTTTCTTTATTTGAAAGTCTGAGCAACAAAGACAGAAAGAGCTCCCATCTGCTGCTTCCCTGCCCAAATACCTGCAGTGGCTGGGACTGGGCTGGGCCGTCTACGGGAAAACCGACTTCGCTCCAGCACAGGACCGGGACTCTGGGGTGGGGGCAGGCCAGGCCTGGCGGCATCCTGACGCCCTCCTGCTGCAGGCTACTGGTATGGCATCGAGCTGGACCAGCCCACGGGCAAGCACGATGGCTCGGTCTTTGGCGTGCGGTACTTCACCTGCCCCCCAAAGCACGGGGTCTTTGCGCCAGCATCCCGCATCCAGAGGTGAGCCCAAATCCCAGTCAGAGCCCCAGGTTCCCCCCTCTCCCATGGTCTCCTCTTGGACAGGCGGCACAGGTGAACACCCACATACCCTAGCACTTTCTTCATGGGCCCCCTGGGACGTGGCTCCCAGTCGGACCCTGGCCTCTTGTGGCTCTAACTTCTCTCATTCCCTGTGTCTCCCCAGGATTGGTGGATCTACCGATCCTCCTGGGGACAGTGTTGGAGCCAAAAAAGTGCACCAAGTGACAAGTGAGTTGGGGGCTGGGGTGTGGGAGGGGCATGGAGTGGGGACGGGAGGAAGGGTCGTGGGTTCTCAGCTATGTGCCGGTGACAGAGTCTTTGGTATTTAACTGGGGATACGGGGTCCCAGAGAGGACATGGGCCATAGGGTATGGGGATGTTCATGACAAGGCTCTGAGCAGGCACTGGAGACACGGGGAGGAACTGTGGGGCATGATAGATTTTATTGACAAGAGGTCCAGATGAATATCGGGAAGGTGGGGTCCAAGTGGGTACAGGGGATATGAATAGATATGAGTGACAAGGAGTCCAGGTGGGTACTGAGGACACGAGTGGGTCTGTCATCCCCTCACCTGAGACCCTGCCCTCTTCTCCAGTGACGCAGCCCAAACGCACCTTCACGACAGTCCGGACCCCAAAGGACATTGCATCAGAGAATTCTATCTCCAGGTGCGTGGCCAACCCTGTCCCCCCGCTTCCTGTGGGATGTTTAGGGAGAGGCATCCATGAGACCACTGGACACAGGGGTCTGGGGTTAGGAAAGCCCGTGACTAGCAAGCATATCCGGAAACAGTCTGCAGGGTGGGGGGATCCCCACTGCATCCTGGTGGCGTCAATTTTGGGGGGCAGGTAATTCCACACAAGTCTGAGAAGGCCAGGGTCAGGCAGAGGCAGAATCCAGAGAAGCCAAGGCCCAAACAGGGCGGGGAATGGGTGATGGACCCAGAGGTGCCGGCCCCTGCCCCATCCCAAGGTGACCCGGGTCTCTCCTTTCCAGGTTGCTCTTCTGCTGCTGGTTCCCCTGGATGCTGAGGGCAGAGATGCAGTCTTAGAGGCCCTGGACACCCGACAGAGTCCCCTTAGCGTCTCCTGACACAGGAACCCCCAAGTCACCCTGAGATAGAGACCCAGTAACACATCCAGATTAGAAACCCCATTAGCCAGCCCTCGACCACGGAGGCCCCATTATTAACAGACTCCCCCATGAGACCCCCAATACAGACCCCATGTCACCCAGACAGATTCCCTGAGTAGCACCTTCAGGCTAGCCCCTTCCCCAACCCCTCAGAGCAGACCCCCCAGTGAACAGATTTCCACGTCACCCCAAATGATGGCGACCCTCTCCACCTAATGCTCCCCAACAGGCCATCCTTGAGTCACTCATCACTGGATCAGAACCCCCCCATTAACAAAGACCCCACCCAAGTCCCCTTGAAATAAACACGGGTCCCACCCCCAGAGGAACAGACTTCATGCCATTACGCCCCATTTTACATCAATCCCCTTGAGATGTGACCCCATGGTCACCCCAAACCCCCAATCAGAGACTCCTTCCATTAATAAAGACTCCTGTTCTTACCCCTCAAGAAGAGATCCACCCTAACCAGCCCACTGTCACCCCCAGTTTACAGACACCAAAACAGTCCTGGAAGTGCTAATTACAGGACTCCAAGTCTTCCTGCCCTCTGCGCCCTCGAGAAAGCCCCACCCAGTGCCTTGTATGAAGCCCCCCAACATGGCCCACAGCCCCTGTGCTGGCCAGGCTCCCAGAAAATTCTCTATTTTTTAAGTAATGACTTCCCCCTTTGGGGGACCCCAAAATTTGGAGGCCCCATTCTGGGACTCTGAGGAATCCCAAGCCTCAGAGTCCACATGTCCCAAACTCCTCTGTGCCCTCAAGCCCCAAAGTCCCTAACTCCCAGGACCCAAATCACAGAATCCCCAAATCCCCAGGGAATCCCAAATTTAAAAAAAATTCCAGCCCGAGTCCCCAGGAAAGCCGATCATGGGGTCCTTGTGCCGGGATGGAGAAGACTGCAGTCAAGATGCACTCCAGGCGCCGGCGCACCCCAAGCCCTGCTCACGGGCACGAGGAGACCCCAGACAGGAACTCCCATCCCTGCAAACGGGAGGACTTCAATGCCAAGTCCACAGATCTCAAGACACCCACATTCCAAGAGCCCCCAGTCCCAAGGGGACCCCTAAACCCTAAAGCCTCCATCTCTACTACATGGAGGGCCCTTAGACCCTGAGGGGATCCCAGATCTTGGAGCCCCACTTCAATCTGCATTCTGGTCACAGGTCCGAGTCCTGGAAAAGGACCTCACAGCACCTGGGCCAGACCAACAGCCTGAGGGCCAACCTGAAGGCCCAGGGGGGTCCAGGGTGGACCTGGGGCCCTGACCACCAAGGACAGCTCACGACTGCCCCTTCACTGCATGTCCCCAAACTCAGCATGACCCCTGTCCTCGTCAATAAAGACGTTTCTATGGCCTCTCTGTGTCCAGGTCATTGGGGTTGCGGCCCTGCCTCTGTACCTTTGCTGGGGGCGCACGGGAAAGGGTGTCCTTCCGTTAATCTAGCCTCCCTGTGGCACAGGCTGGAAAGGATGGCCAGGCCTGCGGGAAGGTCTTCTTACAGTCTCGCGTTCTTCCTGCGGCCGCCACGGCTGCCCCTCCCGTCTGGCCTCGCTCCGCAGCGTGGACGCGTTAGTTTCTGGAGTTCTGAGTGGCGGGTGCCAGCCGGAGACGCGTCTCGCCGCTATCCCTATGGCCAGAGACGCAGCCTATCACTGAGCGAGGGTGAAGGGGCGGGTCAAAAGAGTGAGAGCACCGATTGGGTGGAAGGCGGGCCCTTGGGGCCATCGAGAGTTCCCATTGGTCTGAGGAGGCTTGGCGTCAGTATTGTGGGTCGGAAGTGGCTGGGCAGGGGTTGGGAGTGTTGAATTTGGAAATTGGAGGGGACACTGGTGGACGGTCAGTCTTGGGAACGGGCAGAGGCAGAGATGGCTATCCAGAGTGGGGGTCCGTGGAGGCCGAGAGTGAGGAGTCCTAAAAGTCTCAGAGGCGGGAGACTGTGGGTTCAGGAGGGGAAGGTTGAGAGGAGCCAGGCTCGGGGCTTGATGTCCAAGGGTGCTGGGGTGAAGGGGCGCTCGGGAGGGGAAATCCGAGCGAATGTAGCGTTGGGGGAAGGATCTGAGGCGGCTGGGAGTGGGCATGTCTGAGGAGGCTCCGATCGGGGGCTCCAGGGTGCTCAGAATGGTGGATCTGAAAGGACTTGAGGCTGGAGGAGGGGTCGACGGGGGCTTTGAGAGTTGACAGAGCCGAGCTCAGGATCGCAGGATTGAAGGGGGCTCTCAGGGTGCTTGGAGGGGTCTGGGACGCAGCCCCAGGAGGCTCCCTGTGTGGGATCCGAGGATATTCTCTGAGAGGGTTGAGAGAGCAAATGTGCAAATGAGCAAATGAGTGTTCATTGTGTAGAGCGATTGTGTGGCTTCTGGGATGCTGAGGACTCAAGTTTTAGAGGCAAGTGAATTGCATAAGAGGGCTGTGGTCCATGATGGGCAGAAGGCTGGATCATGGCCTAAGGGCGGGAGGCATAGTGCCTTCAGTGTGCCCTCCCCTCCCCCACAGGACTGGGTGCAAGGACTTGGAGTCGATGGAGGAGCAGGACGCCAGGGTCCCGGCCCTAGAACCATTCAGGGTGGAGCAGGTTGTCAGGCCTGGGGATGCAGAGGGTGGAGGTGGGGTGGGATAGGGAGGCTGATTCCTGGATTCCAGGTCTGGGATTGCCCCCCCCCCCAATCCATTCTTAACCTTACAATCCACTCCCATCCCCACCCTCACCCTGGAATGGACATTGGTCCTTTGACTTCAGATCCTGGCCTGTCTGAGGACGTCCTGAGCCTCTCTCCTGAGGGAGAGGTTGCTCAGTGATGATGGGTAGGTTGAAGGGCCACACCTTCAGGGCTATCTCTCCATCCTAGGCACCACCTATAATCTACTATGTGCCTGACTTCATCTCCAAGGAAGAGGAGGAGTACTTGCTTCGACAGGTGACCCCAAAACCCTTTGGTCTGTTTGCCCCTTCTTCCCATACCTCTACGCAACCCACAGCCCCAGCATGAGAACCCCCAGGGTTCCAGGGAAGACTGGCAGGAAGGAGAGTGACACACAGCGCCTGTACTCCCATCCTTCCTGTTTCTTTCTCAAGATTTGCTACGACCTATCCAAAATAGCTCTTTCTAGAGGTTTAGGGGAAGCCAAGCTGGTTCTTGGAAGGGAGGTGGTGGTTGTCTTGTGCGCTGTGTTTGTTGAAACTCTCTGTTGTGAGATATCCTAGCCCATCCTCCACACTGAGGATGCTGTTGAGATTAGATTCCTTGTGTCGAAATAGCACAGTGCAACCCCATAGTCTCAGAAGGAAGGGAAGTTTCAGCGTTCATTCTCCCCGTGCTGAGATAGCTCAGTCCTGCTGTCTTTGAGTAAAGGAAGCTGTACAGATAGGTTGAGATAGCCCAGGTCACATTCCTGAGATTGAGGAATGAAGAATTTAGTGGTCAGATTTCTGTGCTGAGATAGCCAAGGAGTCGAAGCGTTAGAGTAACTCCTCCTCCATGTGCTAAGAAACGTCAGCATTGACCCAAAGTCTTAGGAACAGTGTTACCAGACACAGGCCACCTATGCTGAGCTAGCCTGGTGGTACTCTGTTCTTTTCCTTTTTTTTTTTTTTTTTTTTTTGACAGGCAGAGTGTGGACAGTGAGAGAGAGAGACAGAGAGAAAGGTCTTCCTTTGCCGTTGGTTCACCCCCCAATGGCCGCTGCGGCTGGCATGCTGCGGCCAGCGCACCGCGCTGATCCGAAGCCAGGAGCCAGGTGCTTCTCCTGGTCTCCCATGTGGGTGCAGGGCCCAAGCACTTGGGCCATCCTCCACTGCACTCCCTGGCCACAGCAGAGAGCTGGACAGGAAGAGGGGCAACCGGGACAGAATCCGGCGCCCCGACCGGGACTAGAACCTGGTGTACCGGCACCGCAGGCGGAGGGAGGATTAGCCTTGAGCTATGGCGGCGCCGGCCTCTTTTCCTTTTTTTTAAAGATTTATTTATGTATTTCAAAGTCAGACGTACACAGAAAGAGGAAGAGAACAGAGAGAGAGAGAGAGAGAGAGAGAGAGAGAGAGATCTTCCGTCCCATCCTGCTGGTTCACTCCCCACGTTGCTGTAATGACCAGGGCGGGGCCAGGCTGAAGTCAGGAGTCAGAAGCTTTTTCTGGCTCTCCCCTGTGGATGCAGGAGCCCCAGCACGTGGGCCATCTTCTGCTTCCGCAGGCACATTAGCAGGGAGCTGGATTGGAAGTGGAACAGCCTGGACTGGAACCAGCACTCAGGTGGGATGCCAGCATCTCAGGTGGCAGCCCAACCTGCTGTACCCTGCTGCTGGCCCCGGAACACATACTGATGTGCTGAGAGATAAGATAGCCCATTCAAGTCTCTGTGTTCTTGGGGGAAAGTTGACATATTTTAGGAAGCTTGGGCTGAAATAGCCCAGTCCAACTGTGTAACCATGAGGGGTGAGGAGATTATCAGCTAGAGTAAGGACTTCTTGGACTGAGATAGCTGTTCTGGCCCCATTGGGATCTTGGCAGTGGAAGATTTTCAAAGTCCTTTCTTTGCTGTGCCGAGATGGCCCAGTTACCACACCTCCTCCCCCAGGCAAAAGGAACAAGGAGCTTCCAGACCTCATACTGTAGCCCAGGAATTGGGAAATCAGAGCGCAGACTTTGCTGGGCCGGAAGGACCCAGCCACAAGCTCTGGGGAGTCAGACTGCAGTTCCTTGATCCCTGTAGACACGTGGGCTTTCTGGCCAAAGGCCTCCCCAGGAAAGAAGGGAAGTAAAGTCCTGTGAATGATCCCACAGGCACTGAGAAGACCCATTTCCACCCCAGGTAAAGACTCTGTGTTGGCCTGGGTGGGAGAATCATGGAAGGATGGTCCAGGAATGGAGTGACCCCTTCTCCCACCTCCTAGGTTTTCAATGCCCCCAAGCCAAAGTGGACCCAGCTCTCTGGGAGGAAGCTACAGAACTGGGGTGAGTGTCCTTGGCTGGGAAATGGGTGACTCTGGATTGTAGGCTAGGGCAGGGGGTTCAGGCTGGATCATCTCAAGGTATTGGGGTGGGAGCTGTCTGTGATGGTTCATGGGGTCCCAAGGGCCGGGGGTGAGGTTCTGAGGGCTCAGTAGGGGTCCCAAGAGGTTAAGGATTTCCTGATGAGTTGGGAGTATCTCAGAGTGTCCATTGTTCTTAGAAGGGTCCACTGGTGATCTCCAAAGGGGCAGGGATCCTTGGAGGGGTCAGGGTGCTTCCAACCACTGGATACCCTCAGTGAGGGCTCCAGGTGCCAGGCCTCTTTGGTTGGATTCCCTTAGGACCGCATTGCACTCCCTAGGTGGGCTCCCCCATCCCCGGGGGATGGTCCCTGAGCGTCTGCCCCCATGGCTCCAGCGCTACGTGGACAAAGTGTCTGACCTCAGCCTTTTTGGGGGGCTCCCAGCTAACCATGTCCTCGTGAACCAGTATCTGCCTGGGGAGGGCATTATGGTAACCACACGCCCTCCTCCTGACCCCCGCAGTAACGACCTCCCCCCAGGCCCCTGAGCCATCATGGAGCAGGGCACCGTGTGTACTCACCCTCATGCTCATCAAGCAGCGATTCCCCAGCCACGCATTCACCTCCCAGGGGTCAGTTTGGGTGGCCCAGAGGGTGTGGGGGGTGTGAACTCCCGCCCTGCCCAGCCCTGGCACCCACTCCCCAGCCCCATGAGGATGGACCGCTATACTACCCGACCGTCAGCACCATCAGCCTGGGCTCCCACACCGTGTTGGACTTCTATGAGCCGCGGCGCCTGGAGGACGATGACCCTACAGAACAGGTGGGCTCTCCGAGGCTGTCCCAGGGGCTTCGGGGCACCCTCCCAGCATCTTCCCTTGTCCTTTCATGGGGCGTGCCCCTCATCACAGACACCCAGCGCATCTGCTTGCAGGGTACCCTAAACTCTGTGATAGCTACAGATACCCCAGTGCCCCTACCTGACACCCTACACACATGCTGAGTGTCCCATATATCCCACCAGGCTCCAGCAGACACTGATATCCTTGAAACCCCTCAGTGTCATTCACTCATGGGTGCCCCAGCACCCTTCCAGTCGTCCTGACTCTGCCCACTGCACAGGGCACCCCAGTACTGACATCTTGTCACTCCAGCAATGCAGTCTGCGGGATAGGACACCCCAGATTCTCCTTGGCCCCGTGAAACATCATGACTGACTGCTCAGGCCCCACTCCCAGATATCCTGGCAATACCTTCTCTGACCTCCGAGGGATGCCTTTCTGACAGCCCCACGCTCACAGAAACTCCCCGGAAACCCTGCCGTGGCTGTCCCTGGGGCTTCCTCTTTAGCCCTGCGTGCTCCTGGATCCTGTGACACCCACTCTGCTACACCACTGTCCTCTGACCCTGATGTCCACGACTGTGCCCGCCTCTTCCTGGTGTTGGCCACGCCCTCAGCCCTGGGTTTTCTGGGTACTGCTGATCCCCCTGTCCCAGCCTGCACCCCTTGGAGACCCCAGTTGCTGCTCCTGTGAGATGCCTGCTGACCTTTTGATGCCCCCCAAAGCAGCCTGGTTCCCGTCCCCTCCCGAGGGACTGGCCTCTGCATTCTCTGGAGTTTTACTCCTGAATCACCAAAAAGCCTCCCTCTGAGAGGCGTGCTTGTTCCGCAGCCTTTGTCCCTGGGGACTAGCTAACCCTTTCCCCTGACACCTCTCACCCATGCCCTGCCCTGGATAGCCACTGACCATCAACCTGCCCTGCAGCCCCGGCCCACGCCCCGTCCCATCACTTCGCTGCTGCTGGAACCCTGCAGCCTGCTGGTGCTCCGTGGCACCGCCTACACACGCCTGCTCCACGGCATCGAAGCCACCCGTGTAGACGTGCTCGAGGCCACCTCCCTGCCATGCAATGCTGCCGCCTGCCCATCAGCATTGCCCGGAGCCCGCCTGGACCGTGGCACCCGCGTCTCGCTGACCATCCGCCGCGTGCCCCGTGTGCTGCGCACCGGCCTCCTGCTCAGCAAGTGACCGCCATGCCCCAGGGCCCGCTGGGATTTGTGGCCTCTGGCCCCCTCTGACCTGCCGTACTCCTGTGACCTTGGAACTCCGGGGCAGAGTTGGCACCCTGGGTTATTTCTGTTGGAGGAACCACGGAAGATTCCATTCCAAATAAATGAAACATATCTTTCCTTGAGTTTTTAGATTGTACTGGGGGCAGGGGGCGTGGTGGCAGTTGCTTCCCCAGGTGCACTGCATCTGGGACCTTGAATGGATGGGGCAGGCCCTGGAGGTCGGATGGATGGGTCACCAATTGCAACAGATCCTGTGGCTCTTGAGGGGCTGGGTGTGTGGGGAATGATATCTGGAGCCCGGCATTATATCGGGCTGGGGTGGCATGGTTTGGGAAGGTATAGCTACTGGTCCCTTTAGGAAGGAAGGAGTTAAGTGGCTGTGCTGTCACCTGAGCCGAGCATCGAATTACCTGAGCCCAGGTTCCTCTTGGAAGGGGTGGAGCCAGGCCTGCCCTTGGGCTTTTGGGGCCCCTCAAGGTAAAGCCTGGGTGTGTCCAGTGGAGATCTGGACAACACCCTGGCTAGGGAAAAGGCTTTTACTGGGTGGCCTCATGGACTCTCTGTCCCTAGACCCCTAGCTATGGCACTGTCCCCACCTCTGGGCCCTAGGCCCCCCTCAGAGGCCCACACACCTCTGCCTGGAAAACCGGACATTGCTGGATGCACCGGCTGCCCTGCTTCAGGAATGGAGATGATCAGGTTGGAACTGGGGGTTTTTAACTTGGCCCCAAGAGGGTGGCAGCAGTGGCAGGGGCCATGCAAGGGTGGGAGGTTCTAAGGCTCTGATCACCTGGAGATCTGGGAGCAGAGCTGGGGATGGAGGGAGGGTGGTGTGGGAAACGAGGCACCGAACTCACTCGGGGACCTGTCAATGCCTGCCACTTCCCAGGTCAGAGCAGAAACTGGGGCTGGACTCCTTGGATGCTCCTGAGCACTTGCGGGGTGGGCAGAGGGGCACTGAGCCCACTGCTGGCCCCCCAAGGTTGTCAATGCCCTCTTCCCATGAGGACTCAGCTGAAGACAAACACCATGAGGTGAGCTGAGGTGGCACAGACCCCTTGGGCCAGCCCCTACCTTCTCTCTGTCTCTCAGAGTCTGGTCTCCCTGCTGTGGGTGAAGTAATGGTTCTGGAAGGTGTTGGGAATGGGGGGGGGGGTGCACCCTGGAAGCCATCCTTTCCCAATCAGCACAGAAGCAGTTCAATATTTCACCACTGGGCCTGGCGCAACCCCACTCCTCCTGGAGGTACCCAGCTCTACCACCTCCTCCCCAGGCACCACATAACCAGCTTTCCAGGAGCCTTGGAAACCTGAGACCTTGAATTCAGTGTCTCCAGGCCTGGAACCGCTAAGCAGGCCCCAGGTGCAGAGCCAGAGATGGACTCTGCTGCAGGGAAGCATCTAGAAGGCGGGGCCTGCAGGAGAGGCGAGGCCAGGGGAAGGAGGAGGATGTCTTCATTGGCTGTTGGCCTGATTGGCCCCCCTGTGTTTTCCAGCACCCCGTCTCTGGCTTGGAGGTACTGGAGGCTGAGCAGGACAGCCTGCATCTTTGCCTGTTGGGGCTGGGCCTCCGGCTGCAGGACCTGGAGCGAGGCCTGGGGCCCTGGACACTGGCCCAGAGCATGACTGTCCGGCTGCAGGTGGGTGGTGAGAGGCCAGGATATTGGGGAGGTAGGCAGGGCCCCAGGCATGGGTGCTTGCTTTCTGCTCCCCCTGGGGTGGGAAACGAGTTTATTACATGCTCCAGGTTTCTGGATAGGAAAAGGGGGAGGTGCTAAATGCAGGTTCTGGGTCTCTGGTGTTCCTGGTGTATGTGGGGGGTGGCGTCCATGTGTATGTTCCCAGGCCCTACAAGCAGACCTGCGAGGAGCAGCCGAGCGTGTGGATGCACTGCTGGCATTTGGTGAGGGGCTGGCACAGCGGAGTGAACCCAGGGCCTGGGCATCCCTGGAGCAGATCCTGAGGGCCCTTGGAGCCCACCGAGATACCATCTTCCGACGCCTCTGGCAGCTGCAGACACAGCTGGTCAGCTACAGCCTGGTATGGCCCACCCTGGTGGTCTCTGGCCCCAACCCCAATCTCCCAACTCTGGTGACCCCTGTTCTCTGACCCAGGTGTTCGAGGAGGCCAACATGCCAGATCAGGACTTGGAAGCCAAGGGAGACTCAGACGGGCCAGGATCTGGTGGGGTCTGGGGACCCTGGGCACCCAGTAGCCTCCTCACTCCTGCAGAGTTGGAGTGGGACCCGGCGGGGGACGTTGGGGGCCTGGGGCCCTTGAGGCAAAGGACAACTTGGACTCCAGGGGCTCCCTGCGAGCTGTGTGGCCACAGGGGGCCCCAGGGCAGGGGACAAGGCTTTGAGGTAAGAGCAATCCCCAGGGCTGGGACTGCGGCAAAGCAGGTAAAGCCACCTGGGACACTGGTATCCCAAGAGGCGCCAGCTCAAGTCTTGGCATTCAGCTTCTGATTCAGCTCCTTGCTATTGTGCATGGGAAAGCAGTAGAAGATGGCCCAAGTGCTTAGACCCCTGCTCCCATGTGGGAGTCCTGGAAGAATCTCCTGGCTTTGGCCTGGTCCAGCCCTAACCATTGTGGCCATTTGGGAGTGAAACAGCAGATGGAAGATCTCTCTCTGTTTCTCTCTCTCTCTCTCTCTCTCTCTCTCCCTAACTCTGCTTTTTCAAGTCTCTTGGAGTCCCTCCCTCCATGTGGTTCTCTTTGTCCCTGTCTCTCCCTCTGTCTCACCCTTTGCCTCTCTCCTGTCTTTCTCTGACGACCTCTCTAACCCCATTTCCTCCTACCCTGCCCCTTACTGCACTGCAGCTGCACTGGCCCCCTGGCCCCACTCCTCTAGTCTCTCCTCAAATGTCACCCACTTAGGGAGACCTGCTCTGGCCTGCAAACATTAGCTGTCATTATCTTCTTGCTCTTTGTCCTAACAGCACTGCTTGTAGCCTGACCTTATCCATTTATTTATTCCTTATTGTGTCTGTCTGCTGCCAGAATACAAGCGCCATGGAGGCCAGGAGTTTGCCTGACTTGCCATCCCCATGGTATCGCTCGTTCCTAGCATGTAACAGGCACTCATTAAATATTTGTTGAATGAATGAAGAATGTTTCTCCTCTCTCGGTTTCTTTGGCTCTGCCTCCTCTCCATCTTTCCCATGAGATCTCGCTGTTCCCCCAGAATCGCAGCTCTCTGACACCCCTCCCCCGATCATGGTCCTTCTCCAGCCACAATTCTCTGTGTGGCTGCTTCTCCAAGAACCGCCTACCCCTCCCTCACCACAGGACATGCTCACGTCGGGTCTCAGCCACCAGAAACACGTGCCAGGTCACCGAAGACGTTCCTTGCTCCAGAAGCCTCAGGTGAGCTGGTCCTCAGCCAGGTGCAGCATTTGGGAATCTCGATGGCAAGTGACAGGAACCCAACCCGCTTTGGAAAAGTCCAGGCACTGCTGAATGCAGGACCTCATTTGCTGCCAGGGCAACTCCCCCTGTTGGGCTCTTTGCCGCACAATGGCTGCTCCAGCTGCTACCCGTTCAATTCCCACTGGCACCAGCCCAAGCCCTGGGGCTGACTCCCAGCTGCCTGGTTTGGGTCAACATCTGTGCCCTGAACCAACCAGAGCGCTCTGATTGGCCAGGCCTGGGTCACATGCCCAACCACGGGCGTTAAGGGAGTCTGAGAATGGGGAGACATGGCTCCCCTTCCCCTGCTGAGAAACTGGGGGAGGGGGATGAGGGATAGGCCCGAACAGACAGCCACTCTACTTGGAGGTATTGCAAGGCCATGGGGGGTCCTGGGGTGCCAGGAAAGGAGGGAAGATAAGACGAGACCCGGGGGTCTGTGGTAGCCCACGTAAGTGTCACTTCCACCCATCCTGCTGCTGGCTGCTGTCTGCCCTCAGGACAAGAAGAGGCAAGCAGCTCCCCGTCTGCTGGAAGTGGATTCTGGGTGAGGTGCTTGAAAGAGGGGTCCCGGGTGTGGGAGGCCGGGTTCATAGTGGCTGCTCACCCACGTAGTTAACACTGCGTTTCCTTTCCTAGAGTGCCGGCTCCTACACCCAGGCGGCCTCCGATCTTCCTCCTTCTCCTCATCCTCTTCCTGCTCCTGGTGGGTGCCACATTGTTCCTGCCCACGTCAGGAGGCCCCTGCTGCTCTCACGCTCGACTGGCCAGGACACCCTACCTGGTGCTAGACTATGTCAATGGTCCCCCGCCAATCTGAGTGCACAGCCCGGACACGAGTAATAAACAGTCACCATCCAAGCAAGTGTGACGATGTTGGGTGCTTGAGTCCCCGGAGTGTGGCACGCAGCCCCGATATGTCGGACAGTCCTGCCACAGACCCCCGTGTCTGGAGCACAGAACACTGCACTGCATTGACCCATCTTGAGTTGGGTTCTCCTCGATCCTGACACAAGAGGATTCAAGCCTCAGTCATGTACTTGGTGGGTGGTACTTGGAACAGTGGCAGGGGAATGAGGGACTGGGTGAGTTAAGGGGGCTGCTGCTCTGGGTCCCTGGGGTGCCATCCCACTGGGGATGTCTGGCAGCTGTGTGGCACACACTCGAAGTCGTTCCATGGAGAAATCGTGGCACTGATGGATCAGTGTCCATCTCTCCTTGCTGACGACACCTCCGCACTTCCACCTGTCCCAGCTATGAAGGCCCCTCCCTCAGGCAAAGAAGCACAGGTGTTCCCCACAGCAAGCTAGAGGCAGGTATGGCAGGGTGCAGGCCATACGGGTGACCTCCCCAGCCCCTGGCTTGTGTCCACACAGGTGCTCTGTTTGAACATTCTACGAGGTGGGCTCTTGAGCTGGGCCATCGTTAGCCCAAGACCGCGAAACCCCTTTCCTGGAGTCTTGACAACACCAGGCTGAATTGCCAGGGCTCCGTCCTAAGACTCCCCCGAACTTCTGATATGGGGGGCCAGCGCACCGTGCTGATCCAAAGCCAGGAGCCAGGTGCTTCCTCCTGGTCTCCCATGGGGTGCAGGGCCCAAGCACTTGGGCCATCCTCCACTGCACTCCTGGGCCACAGCAGAGAGCTGGCCTGGAAGAGGGGTAACCGGGACAGAATCCGGCGCTCTGACCGGGACTAGAACCCGGTGTGCCGGTGCCACAGGCAGAGGATTAGCCTATTGAGCTACGGCGCCGGCCAGAAAACATATTTTTAAAAATTGCATCTGGACTAAACAAACTTCCTAAATAATGTAGCATAACTGTTTACACAGCATTGTAATACACTGTAGTTATTGTAAGTAATTTAAGTATGTGTGTAGGTTATAGGCAAATGCCATGCCATTTGATATGAGGGACATGAACATCTGTGGATTTTGGGAACTATCCTGGATGCAGAGGGACAGCTCTAAGTGGTGGGTCAGACCGTGGTACGTGCTAGGAGAAGTATAAAGTGGGCGGAGAGAGAGGGCTATAATGTGACAGAATGGCTAAGAGAGGCAATTATAACTATGTTATAACTATGCCTTTACTGCAGAAAGGAATGCAGAAACCAGCCATGTGCACTCCTAGTGCAATGCTGTCCAACAGATATATAATGCAGGTCACAGATTAAACTTTGCTAGTTGTCACATTAAAACAGAAATAGGTGGAATGAATTTTAATAATTTGTATTCTATCTTACCCAATATGTCCAAAATACCATCACTTAAAAATAGTCAATATAAAAATAATCAGATATTTTACTATCCTTTTTTTTTAAAGAAAGATTTATTTAAGAGACAGAGCTACAGACAGAGACAGAGAGAGAGGTCTTCCATCTGCTGGCTCACTCCCCAAATGGCTGCAATAGCCAGAGCTGGGCCGATCAAAAGCCGAGAGCCAGGAGCTTCTTCTGGGTCTCTCACATGACTGCAGGGGCCCAAGCACTGAGGCCATCTTCTACTGCTTTCTCAGGCCATAGCAGAGAGCTGAATTGGAAGAGGAGCAGCCAGGACTTGAACTGGTGCCCATATGGGATGCTGGTGCCTCAGGTGCTATGAATACACAGTGTTGGCCCCACAATCTTTTTTCTTAAAACTTTGAAATTAGTGTGTACTTCACCAGATTTAAATTTAAAAATTTATTTTCACTTTATTTGAAAGGCAAAGACACAGATAGAAATCTTCCATATGAGGGTTCACTCCCCAAATGATTGCAATGGCCAGCCCTGAGCCAGGACAAAGCCAGTACCAGGGACTCCATCTTTGTCTCCCACAGGGTGGGTAGGGACCCAAGTACTTGGGCCATCATCTGCTGCTTCCCCAGGCACATTAGCAGGAAGCTGTCATCAGAAGCAGGGTAGATGGGATGCCAATGAGGCACTGTGACATAGGAAGTGGGTGTCCCAAGCAGCGTCTTAACTGCTGCACCAAACACCTGCCCCAGATGCTGACTTTTTAACAAGTAATGTGAAATGTTGTCTTACCAAAACAACAAGATAGCAAAACAAAAAAAGAAAAACTTTATTTTACACTACTTTCGTTTTTAAATTTACTTAACATTTACAAAATTAAAATTTCAGGAGGCAGGCATTTATCCTAGCAACTATGACATCTGTATCCTACATCGGAGAACCTGGGTTTGAGTCCTGGTTCCAGCTCGACTCTTTCTGCTAATGCAGATCCAGGGAGGTAGCTATGCTGGCTCAAGTAATTGGGTTCCTGCTACCCACATGGCAGAACTGGATTGTGTTTTCGGTTCCAGTCTTTGGCCCTGGTCATTGTAGGCATTTGGGGAGTGAACCAGCAGATTAGAGCAATCTTTCTAAATAAGAGATTCCATTTCTTAGTCACATCAGCGAAATGTCAAATGCTCAAGTCACATGTAGTCCCAGCTACAATACTGGACAGTGCAGACCTCAAGGAAGTGCATTCCAGGTAGAGAGGGAACAAGTGCAGAGGGCCTGGGGTACATGGCAAGGCCAGTAAGGCTGGAGAGTAAGTAGTGTAGGCGGGGTGTGTGTGTGACAGGGCCAATCAGCTAAGGCCTTGTAGGATGGAGGTTTGTAAATTTTTATTCTGCTAAATTTTAAACTGGGACAAAAGGGGAATGAACAGTCCTCACAGACTCCTCACCAGCTCTGTTAACTCAGGGCCACCCCCTCTCATTCTCCTATGCACCCATTTCCCTGTCCCTAGATTAATTCTGCAGCCAACTCTAAACATCATATCCTTTCACTCACAAGCAATTCAGCTCCAAAAGACTGAGTGTTTTCAAAATCTAGTCACAACACTTTTTGCACTGTAAAAATATCCCACAATCATTTGTTCACATCCTTTGCACCCCGGATGACACTGCTCAGGAGTGATGGGAAGTTATGGGCACAGCTGGTGGCTCCTTGTCCAGTAAACAGCTTCCCAGTTCCCCACAGCCCCACTGGGCCACCTCATGCAGCGGGTCACTCGCTCGGCCTGTTGCTATGGCAGAGTTTGTCACTCAAGATAGCAACCTAACAGTAACCTATGCTTCCCAATAGGGTGAAGATCAGCAAGGGAGATCACGTTATTTTTTCCAAAGGCTAAAAAAATGCATTTTATTGAATTTTAATTAGTTGCAAAATCTGTCAAGTTATATGTAAGAGTTTTATAAAGTCCCAGAAGAGTCAAGCTTCCCTTTCATGGAAATGTGGTACACAGATAACTAATGACCAGTGAGACACTGATACAGGTTGAGCGCTCTAATCCAAGAATTTGGAATCTGAAAATCTGCCGAACCCAAAACCTTGTGAGTGATGCTACAGGTGGAAATTTCCACACAATCAAGCTTCTTCCATGCACACAATTATTTAAAACATCGTATAATTACCCCCAGACTGTGTATCTGAAACATAAATGAATTTCATGTCTAGACTTGGTTCCCCTCCCTAGGGTATCTCATCATATACATGCAAATATTCCAAGACTGGTCTTGCACATTTTAGATAAAGGATACTCAACCTTTGGGGTATTTTATTTTTGCAAATTTTTGTTGCAAATTACCAAAAAGCTTCTACGACTAGCACAGCAAACTCCCATCTACCCTTCACCCAGCTTCGTCAATTGCTCACGTTCTGCTCCATTCGCTTTACCATGCACACGCTCGCTAATATACCAGGATGCTTCAAGAAGTTCGTGGACAACTGAATGAAAAGACAAGTCTAGTGTCGGAGCAAAAAGTTTTGGAATCTGTGAATATGCCTTTTCCATGAAACTTCTGCAGACTCCTCATACTTACCTTGTATGTGCTTCAGAACCATTTGAGTGAGTGACTGCATGACGCTACTCTACCCCTAAATGTTTCAGCGGACACGAGCAAAACTGTAAAATGGCATCTCTTACACAAGTAGAATAGTAGTCGAAATCAGAAAATAATTCAGTTCTATTATTAACACACAACCCATATTCCAAATTATTCCAACCCCCGTAGATTGTTTACAGCAAATTTCTCATATCAGGAGATTCTTGTATAACGAACAGGGCCAAGTGGTTGAAAAATGTTGACTTTGTGTCTTGGCAGTTAAAAAACACAGCAGCACACACACACAGATCAGCCGAGGACTGGGCACTGTCCCCTTGCTTTACCCTAAGCATACTTGGAGCCAAGAATTTAGGGGAGGCCGTCCTAGGAGGCAGGAGAGTAGGGAGAGACAGGGGCTCAATCCATGGGGGACCTCTGAAGAACCTGGTAGATCACATACGGCAATCCAACCAGACAAGAGGCAGGCCTGGGCACTCATCCAGTGACTCCTGTACCCAACACGCATTAGCCCAACTCCCATAACTCCAAGAAAGCCCTCCAGCAGAAGAGAGAGATGTGGGGCCGGCACTGTGGTGCAGCAGGGTGAAGCCCAGGCCTGCAGCTCGCGCATCCCGTATGGGCGCTGGTTCAAATCCCAGCCCTCTGCTGTGGCCTGGGAAAGCAGAGGATGGCTCAAGTCCTTGGGCCCCTGCACCCTCGTGATGGGAGACCTGGCTTCGGATCAGCGCAGCTCCGGCCACTGCGGCCATCTGGGGAGTGAACTAGCAGATGGAAGACCTCTCTCTCTTTCTCTCTCTGTAACTGTCTTTCAAATAAATAAAAGATAAATCTTAAGAGAGAGAGGAGAGAGGTGCAGAGCTCACAGCAGGAAGCTGGCAATTCCCTGGGAACTTGCTCTTGCAGCTGCACTTGAACTCAAGCAGGCAGGACGGTCACTGGTGACAGGGGGGTGGCATTACCATCTGCTGCCACGATTTGCATTTAATTCATGGTATCATAATAGCCACACGAGAAAGGCACTACCGCTATGCGTACTTCACTGGTAAGGGCGTTAAGGCACAAAGGGGTTAAATCACTTGTACACAACCGTGGAATCAGTAAGGACTGGAGCTGGGATTCCAGCCTTGGAACATTCTGGTTCTAGAGTCTCCACTCTTAACCACCACTCACCTGTACACCTCTTCCCTCAAGCCAGGCATGCCTCTATGCCAGCCATTCCACCTGGCGCACCCCATTCATCTCCGACACCACCTGCACGTCTCCTGACAAGATGCCAGCTCTGCAGGAAGCTCCCACAGTACAGCTCAGAACAGGGAGCCTGGAGTCACCGCAGGGGCCGGACGAGCAGGAGCCCACGGACACTCTCAGGACTCTGTCCTGGTTCTCTTCTGCCCACCCTCCCTTCAGTCCAAGGTCTGGGCTCCCTTCCTAAGGTCCTCCGCTCCCCAGCGGCACCTGCGGGAATCCATCTGCTTCCACCTGGTTAACTGACACGGACACACACACAGCTCAGGGGCGCACAATGCAGTACCCCCGAGAACGCCAGGTCCCTCTACAGACAGGGAAGGGTAGGCCCAAGGTGCATGGGTCTGTCTCCCGCCTTGCTGACAGAGAGCCCAGCTCCAGCTTGTAGCTGAGGTTGGGCTCCTCAGCCAGCTTTGAAGAAGACGGAAGTTCCCAGGTTGTGTGAAACGCTCCGAAGGGCTGGAGATCCCCATTAACGCTTAGGGGTTACCAACCAGGCCCCCTCCGCTCACCTCTCCACTGGGGAGTCACCTGGAGTCTCTTCGGGGTGCAGCCAGCATGGGTCTCGTCCACAGAGCCAGAGAGAGAGAAGTATGCTGCTTCACCCACGGGGGAAGGAGAGCTCCCCACACCATCCACTCCCCGAGGGTCAGCTCCCGGTGTGTGGGAGCCAGGGGGCACTTCAAGAATCCTCAGACACACTCACTCTTTGAGGCCATCAGCAGGCAAGTAAGCACACACCCAACTTTATTCCCTTCGCTAACACAGCAGAGGGAGGGATGCCCGAGAGGGGGATTCTGAGGGGTCTTGAGTTGATCACCTGGGGTGGTGGCTGGACCTCTAGCCCCTTCTTCAAGCTCCTGGTTTGTCACAAAGTTTTTCCAAAGGTGAAAAGTGGGATGGGGGTGGGTGGGTGGTTTGCAGGCTTCTCACCGTCTTTCCAAACTCTCAGCAAAAAGCATGCTCTTCTAAGAGTCACACACAGGAATGCGCCGTCTCCTTGAGGAGCCAGGGGTGGGTATGTTCTCAGGAGTCAAGGGCTGGGCGTCTTGGCCTCTCTTCATCCATGGGCGGTGGGCAGGCGACCCTGCTCTCCAGGCCTTTGGAGATCCCTGCATGACGCTGTCCAGCCCGTCGAGGCCCCTGGCCGCTCTAAGCCCTCGTGGGGTGGCGGGGGTGTGCGATCTGTCACTTTGCATCCGGAAGGGTGGGCGTCTCTCCCCACCATCTCCTGAAGCTGAGGGTCCCAGGAGGGTCTCCATTTCCCCGCTCCCTGACTTGTCACCTTCCATCAGGTGGCTTCCCGGGCCCCCCACGCAGTCGGTGGGCCCCTGGTTCCCCTGTCACCGCCCTACAGGCCGGGTCGGCGGTGCCTCCGTGCTGTCACACGGACCCGCGCCGCCGGGCTCCTCCGTCAGGCCCCGCGGGCGCACGAAGGCACCCATGGCCTTGGCGTGGCCCGAGCGCAGCAGCTGGAGCTGGCGCTGCCCGCGGCGGTACAGGTACTCGATGCGCAGGACGTCGGAGCGCGGCAGGCTGGCGTGCAGCCGGAACTCGGCGCGCACCCGCGCCTCGGCGCCCGGCTTCCCGCGCCCGGCGCGCAGCAGCTCGCGGTACAGGCTCAGAACTTGCCTCTGGAGTCTGCTGTGCCGGCTCATGGCAGCCGCGGGCCTCTTCACGCGCGGCGGACGCCCCAGGAGCAGCCGGGCCGCAGCTCAGTCCCCAAAAGCCAAAGTTCAAAACGACCGGCACTTCCGCCCCGCCATTCCCAGAACCCCTGGCTCCCGCCTCCCGCCATCCGGCGCCGCCGCGCTCGATTGGCTGTCGCTGCGGTTACGTCACGGCGGGCTAAGCGGAGGGGGCGGAGCTGCCGGGTCTGGCTCCCCGGGCGTGGGATCTGTGTCCTTGAGCGGACGGTGGTTTGGGGGGACCCTGGGTCCTGGAGGAGGAAGAGGCTGGGTCCTCGGGCTCTAAGGTCTTGAGTCGAAGGGAGACAGGGAGTGGGTCTTAGATCTGGTCCTAGAAGAAGGCGGTACTAGGGGTTCAGATCCTTGGGTTCCCCGGGCGCCGGGGCCCTGGAAGACAGGCGCTTCTTCTTTTGTCGTCAGTTATTAAAACCATGCCCGGAAGCTCTGTGCCTTCCCTGCCCCCTCCACGAAGGTCAGCTCCCGGAATCCTAGCCCTGGGGACGCGCAGCGGCACGTCGGGTCACAGCCGCTCGGACTAGCGTCTGAGCTGCGCGGACGCCCAGCCGCCCTAGGCAGCGTGCGGCTACGGGAGCTGGGCTGCTCGCGCCCTCTGTCGCTGGGGGTCGGGGCCCCGTGGGCAGTGGAGGGTCCTTTCCAGATGCTACGGTCGCTAGTCCAGTCCGCTGTGCCGCCTTGAACACGTGGTGGGCACTGCGGAGTCGGTCCTGCGGGCTGTCAGTCTCTTAGCTCTGGGCAGGCTCGCAAGGACACAGCACCGGGGACAGCTGGATGGTAATCGCTCTTTCTCGCTTCTTATGAAGCCACCAGGATTATCTAATCCTAATCACTTCCCAAAGGCCTCATCTCTAAGCACCGTAGTCAGATTAAGCTTCCGCCCTCTTAGTACTTTAGAGTGGGGATTAAGTTTCAACATGTGAAGCCTTGGGGGACACACTCAGGTCATATCCAAGCCTTAGCATCTTCTGTAATTGTTCCACTGAAAACGGGATGTGAGCGGAGCGGTGATGTGGTGGGTCTGGTAAAGCCGCCGCATCCGATAGGGTCGCCTGTTCAAGTTCCGGCAGCTTCAGTTCTGATCCAGCTCTCTGCTATGGCCTAGGAAGACAGTGGAGGATGACCCAAGTCTGGGTCCCTGCACCACGTGGGAGACCCGGAAGAAGCTCCTGGCTCCTGGCTCCTGGCTTCAGATCGGTGCAGCTGCGGCTGTTGCAGCCATCTGGGTGTTTGAAAAGTTCTAAGAGCTCTCTGAAGATTCTGATGTGTGGTCAGTGTTGTGAACACTAGCACAGAGTGGACATGCCAGGGAAGGTGTGTCTGTTCTACTTGTTCCTCCAATCCTAGGGACACTCTGGGGTTTATAGATTTATTTATTAATTGTTTATTATTCCCAGCTCCTGACTTTGACCTGACCCGGCACTGGCTGTTGTTGGCATTTGGGGGAGTGAACCAGTGGGTGGGAAATCTCTGTTTCTCAGCTTTTCAAATAAATAAAATTTATTTTAAAAATAAAAGAAAACCCACCTGGAATGGGGAGAGGCCACCTCAGCCTCACAGAGAGGTGGTTTGAAAATCAAGCTATGCCTGTCTTCAAATATCCATTCTCTATGTCTTCCCTAGACCACAATTTTTAGCTGCACATATGGCCACCCAGCTAAAGATACATCCTCCAGCTCCTCTCGCAGCCAGATGGGGTCCATCCGTGACGTCTGGGCCAATGGGAAGTGGACGGAAGTGATGTGTGCCTTTTCCGCATTGTACCCCTGAAGTCGGAGGAGGGCCCTCCTTGTCCCTTCTTTGTTCCCTTCCAGTCTGCTCGAGTGTAGTTGTGGTGAGGAACAGATGAGGGCAAAGCCACAGGCGAGAGAGATTCACACAGAGAAGGAATCTGTGTCTGGAAGAACCAAGCTGGTTATACTCGGATTGCTCCTGAGACAGAAATAAACTGCTATCGCGGTTCAGCCAGTGCGATTCTGAGCCACAGTGACAGCATTTGGACAAAGTGCCTACTTAATGTAGAAGCTAACACAGAGAGGGAAGTGCAGGGATGCAAGACGGGCAGAAACGAAGTCCTAGTGACCTCAGTGGAGTCCCTGAAGCCAGCCATGCCTGAAGGCTTCAGCTTTACAGATAAGTGAGAGAGGATGAGTTCTATTTTGTGTCTAACCCATTCTATGCCATTATTCTATAAAGATGTAAACTGAGCAATAAATGTATCAGTTACGATAACTTTGAAATGAATATATGTGATTGATGTATTTGCAGAATTGAAACGGGTTAAGCCAGTTGACATCATTTTTTTTTTTTTAAGATTTATTTTAGGGGCCTGCGCTGCGGAGGAGCAGGTTAAACTGCCACCTGCAGCACCAGCATCCCAAATTGGCATCGATTCAAGTCCCAGCTGCTCCACTTCCAATCCTGCTTCCTGCTGGTGTGCCTGGCAAAGCAGCAAAAGATGACCCACGTGCTTGGGTCCCTGCACCCAACATGAGAGACCCGGAAGAAGCTCATCGCTCCTGGCTTTGTTCCAGCCCAGAGTTTCATTCATTCATTCATTTTTTAAAGATTTATTTATTTGAAAGACAGAGTTACAGAGAGAGAGGTCAAGACAGAGAGAGAGGTCTTCCATCCACTGGTCCACTCCCCAGATGGCTGCAAAGGCCGGAGCTGTGCCAATCTGAAGCCAGGAGCCAGGAGATTCGTCCAGATCTCCCATGTGGGTGCAGGGACCCAAGGACTTGGGCCATCTTCTGCTGCTTTCCCAAGCCATAGCAGAGAGCTGATTGGAAGAGGAGCAGCTGGGACTTGAACCGGTGCCCATACGGGATGCTGGCACTTCAGGCCAGGGCTTTAACCTGCTGTGCCACAAAGCTGGCCCTCCAGCCCAGAGTTTTTTTATGTGTGTGTGTGTGTGTGTGTGTGTGTGTGTGTATATATATATATATATATATTCCATCTGTTGGTTCACTCCCCAGATGGCCTCAATGGCCAGAGCTGGGCTGGTCTGATGCCAGGAGTCAGGAGCTTTACCCGCTATGCCACAGCATCAGTCCTGGCCTAATTTTTTGGTGACTTACAATTGAAAATGCATCTTATAGCCAGAGGGCAGGGCCTGAGAGCCCCTCTTATCAGTACATAGCATCCATTGTGGAAGCAGCTGTGGTGGTCCTGGGACCCACACTCTGTGCCATCAAAGATGAGGCCAGGGTCACATTCACAGCCTTCACAGGATCCTGAGGAACAACAAACAGGGTAGCAGGCAGGGCACAGCTCCCATCACAGGTCCCTGCCAGGTGCCACAGGGGAGCAGGCAGTGCTGTAGGTAGATGGCAAAAGTGAGTGCATAGGCTTCACTGTTCCCTTTCCAACCTCTGTGCTTTCTGCCTCCCACTGAAATGTTCCCACCTCCAAGCTTTGCAATTACAATTCCCTTTCAATGGAGCCCCTTCCCACACGCTTCCTTAACTAATTCCATCGATGCCAGCAGTTCTTCCCCGATCTTCATCAGGGGAGGGGCCCCTCCTGCAAGCCCACACCTGCCTTGGGTGCATCCCAGACCCAGGCAGAGCACTCACAGCAAAGCTTGGGGGACCCTCCAGAGCATTACAGGGGTCCCAGCCTCCTGGCAGGCCACAGTGTAGCTGCGAAGGCATCACAGAGGTCAAGGTGGTGGCCGTGGGTGTGACATACACCCTACAGGGCTCAGGAATAATATGGCCATGGGTGCTGGCCATGGGTGCGACATACATCCTATAGAGCTCAGGAGTGATCTGGCCATGGGTGCTGGCCGTGGGTATGACACACAACCTACAGGGCTCAGGAATGGTATAGCCATGGGTGCGACATACATCCTAAGGGCTCAGGAATGATATGGCCCAGACGATGATCAGAGGGGACCTCTGGCATCTACAGGAGTTCACACAGTTTGGAAACCTTGATGATCTGGGCAAAGTTCATGAAGCAGCTGATGCTAAAGCCAAGGTCCGTTTGAGGTGGTGGGAAGAAGGCAGTGACCAGACCCTTGGGCCAGGACCTGGTGTCCAGAGGCAGAGTCGGTGGGCCAGCATTGCTACCAAAGGCCCCCCAGAGCCCTGCACCTGGCCTTGGAAGGTGGAAGTCACCATCAGCCCATATGGCTGCCCCAGTCACTCGTGACACAGGCTGTGTGCCCCACCATAAAGCAGTCCTCCAGTGTGGCCCAGACATGGCCCTCACCAGCACTCTGGGAGGTGGTAGTGCTCATCATCAAGGAAAGGGGTCAGGACTGGGGCTGGGCAAACTGAGTCTGCTCCCTCGCCGCCATAAAACCTGGATTGGGGGCCGGTGCTGTGGTGCCGCAGGTTAAAGCACTGGCCTGAAGCGCCGGAATCCCATATGGGTGCCGGTTCTAATCCCGGCTGCTCCTCTTCCAATCCAGCTCTCCGCTATGGCCTGGGAAAGCAGTAGAAAATGGTCTAAGTCCTTGGGCCCCTGTACCCACGTGGGAGACCCGGAGGAAAGCTCCTGGCTTCGGATCAGCACAGCTCTGGCCATTGAGGCCATGTGGGGAGTGAACCAGCGAATGGAAGACCTCTCTCTCTGTCTCTCTACCTCTCTCTGTAACTCTTTCAAAGAAATAAAATAAATCTTAAAAAAAAAAAAATCCTGAATGTTCCTTCCAGTTGTCCACAAAGCAGCTGTGAGACTTGGGTGAGCGACCACCTTTCTGAACTATAGTTTCCGGTAAAACGTAAGGATGAGGTAGTGTACCTACTTCACAGGGTTGTTGGAGAAGTAAGATGGACTCACAAGTGCTTACAACAGTGCTGGGCAGCAGTAAGCTCGAACCCCAGCTGGGATCAGCCTAATGCCCATCAGCTCAGGCACATCCAGTCCCGAAGATTTTGTGGATGTTTGTTGTGCAGTGTAAGCTGGTGGATGGACTTGCTGCAAGGGTTCAACTTAAGATTGTTCATAAAAAGTGCTCGGAATAGTGCCGAGCACCCGACAGGCACGACACAAGCCCGTGCTTCTCTGCCCTGCGTTCCTCCCGCACTCCCTTTTCCCATCCTCCCCAGCCTGCTGATGTCACCTCACTCCTGCTCTCCTTGCTGCTGAGCTGGCCATTTAAGTCCTCCCACAGGGCCTGGTGATCTGCTCCTGTCACCCCGCCAACTTCGTCGTCTCAGGGTCAAGGCCGCTCCCTCACTCAGCACCAGGCCCCCCCCTGCTCTTCCTCCAACCACCAGGCACCACCCCAGCCCCACGACCTTTGCACTTGTTGTTCCCTCTTGGATTTCTCCTCCTGGGATGTCTGCAAGGTCCCTTCCTTCCTTCCGGTCCTGGCTCAGTGTCACTCTCTCAGTGGCGTCTTCTTTAGTGATCTTGTTTGAAATTGTGAACCTCCCCTGTGCTCTCTCTCCTCCTGATGCTATTTTTATAGGTCTTGTTCCGCCATCTGATTTTCCATGCACTGTTTATTTACTTATTGTCTGTCTCCCTAGAAGAATGTGTGCTCCTCCAGGTCTTATTCACCATGAACTCCTCTGAGGCTTACCATGCTGCCAGTCACAGACTCTCCCTAACTGTTCATCAAACGAATCCTGAATGACTGAGTTTCTGTAATCCTAGCACAGGCACTGACAGGCACTCTTGAGTGAGCCATCATTACACTCCAGGGTGTTGCCATCTTGTCCTACACTTGCATGATTTTTTTTTTAAAGATTTATTTTATTTATTTGAAAGACAGAGTCACAGAGAAGCAGAGGCAGAGAGAGAGAGAGAGAGAGAGAGAGAGAGAGAGAGAGAGAGGTGTGCCATCTGCTGGTTCACTCCCCAGATGGCTGCAACAGCTGGAGCTGCACCCATCTAAAGCCAGGAGCCAGGAGCTTCTTCCAGGTCTCCCATGTGGGTGCAGAGGCCCAAGGACTTGGGCCATTTTCCACTGCTTTCCCAGGCCATAACAGAGAGCTGGACAGGAAGTGTAGCAGCCAGGACTTGAACCAGCGCCTATATGGGATGCCAGCACTGCAGGTGGCGGCTTTACCCGCTATGCCACAGTGCCAGGCCCCAACATGATTTTTTTTTTAATATTTATTTTATTATTTGAAAGACAGAGTGACAGAGAGAGAGGGAGAGAGATCTTCAATATGCTGGGTCACTCCCCAAGTGGCTCTAACAGCTGGAGCTTCTTCGGAGTCTGCCATCTAGGTGGCAAGGAGCCAAAGCACCTGGGCCATCCTCTGCTGCTTTCCCAGGCACATTAGCTAGGAGCTGGATGGGAAGTGGAGCACCGGGGTCTCGAACCGGGGCCCATATGGGATGACGGCGTGGCGTAGCAGGCAGGATCTTTGCCCACTATGCCGCAATGACGGCCCCTGCATGATTTTTTTTTTTTTTTTAATAGATTGGGGCTGGTGCTGCGGCACCGCAGGTTAAGCCACGGCCTACAGTGCCGACATTCCATGCTGGTTAGAGAAAAAGTCACAAACAGGTCTTGTTGATCAAGCTGCTGCCCCCAGGGCAAGCCTCCCCAATCCAGGTTCTGAGCTTCCTTGCCTCACCACGCCCACTGGGCCTGACCTTGCTCGGTTTTTCTCCCACCTCTGCTCCCTGCTGGCCCAAACCAAGAATCTCCAACAGCTCTGCACCCCTCCAGGCCGCAGGGGTGCGCCGAGCCTGCTGGGCAAGCTTGTGGGCAGCCAGGGCTCAGCAGCAGTGATGATAACATGCGTCGTCTGGGCATTTGTCCAGGAATGGGCCTGCGCTCCTGCTGAGGATCAAGGCTTGGAGGTCTGGTGGCAGCCACCAAGAGCCCGCAGTACCTGTGCCCATTGAGTCGGGCGGGCGCGATGCAGGGCAGGCAGACCCGGCCTCAGTACAGCAACTTGGTCATCTTCCAGCACTGGGCAAGGGCCTGATGCTGCGCCTTAGACGGGGGAGACGGTCGGTGGGGGAGAAGGTTCCTTGCTGGGGGGCTGGGGGAGGGGTCAGCAGGAAGGCTCAGGGCGCACATCAGTGGGATCGACATTAGGGATTGTGTGAGGGCCAGTGAAGGGTTCCGTGAGGCTCAGTGGTGGAGAGACTGGGCTGTCAGAGTTAGCAAGAGGGCAGTGGCAGTTCCAGGAGAGGTGACGAGAATGGTTACAGTGACAGCTAGGGAGACCAAGAAGAGGGTAAGTGGAGAAGGTGGTGGACAGTTCTTCATCAGCTACGCCACAACGCCGGCCCGTGGTGGGCGGTTCTACAGCTCGCTGCC